GGGTCTTACAATTTCCCTCGCGGTATCCTTCCTACTAGTCGGGCTAATCCCGGGGTTTGTCAAGTGCTGCACCGTCTGCTAGATTTTCATATTCTATCCTAGTAGATGCTCAGTCCCAAAGAAGCTACATGATAAGGTATGCAGCCCTCCTCGCAAGGAGGTCTAGCGAACCTCAACATCAGATAGCATCGAAAGCATCAAGAACCACCCCTTATGTCATTTTTTTCCGAAGCAATTAGCATATATCACCTCTGCAATTAAGGAAGGTCTCGAAACGAGGCAAATCATAGATAAGCAGCGTTTCCATTCGCATTGAATGTGTAGTTTCGGGATCAAAGATCCCCGTCTCATACGAGGTTGTGTCCCCGTCCGACTGACGGGGTTGTATCGCAGGTGTAGTAGCATGCAAACGCCGTCAGAACATCTGAAATGTACAACATTGCAGCTCTGAATTGCTGCTTTTGAATCATTCAAAGCCAGTAGGTAATTTTCCTAACGTCAACAATTCTGCCTCAATGTTGTTTTCCGTCGGTAAAAAGGAAGCTGCAGGTTTTTTTTTCTGTCAATAGTGACCGTATAAATATTTAATGAGATAAAATTAGCATTCTGAAGGAATGCGCTGCAACTGCATGAGGGAGCAATTGTGTGCCTACAATGTTTACCAGCTCAAGTGCGCTTCCCTTCTTCGATGATTATACGTACTTGAGACGTTCCGGGAATGAAACGCGCACCACGAAATAGGAATGGAACATTTAAGATATGCAGACCAGGAGCAGAGGGCCTAAATAAGGCGATATGAGACATTGTTGCTGCAGAGAGCGCTATGGTGATCAAGGTGTTCAGCAGGGTCCAACGTCTATTAATCAATTCTTAGAGCAACAACCCAGGAATGAGTTTCAGGCGTGTATGCGGCCCCTATGGTGGGAGGACGGAAAGGTTCGCAGATGTAATTTCTTCCGGCTTCAAAAGTTGCGCAAACAAGACACCAGGAGCCTTATAAGGATCGCGGGGCGCACGCTGCCTGTGTCGATCGTCACAACAGACTGATGTCTGCGCGCCTCTGCAGTTATGTTGTTCGAGCCGATCCTCCCGTCCGTGTTCAGACTCATCGCTTAGAAGCGCTCGGTGAGCATGGCCCGCTTAACTTAGCGCTGCTCCACAATTCTTATCTCTTCAGCTGCCTGCAACGATGCTTCGCACACCATGTGCTTCATTTTTTGTGTGCAAGAACCACAGCAGTTTACTGTGATAGGTGTGAGGCGTTTAGCCGATCAGGAGGGTCGATATTGTGGGATATCACGATAGGCTTAGAGAGATGTCCTTACCTTTACCGCGCTTAGCAACGAGTCTTGGTAAAAATTTTCACGAAAAGGCATAAATTAGGCAAAATTAGAGCTGATGCCGTTTTTTACACGTAATGGACGACAGAGTTTCTCTCGCGTGTATCACCATGTGGAGCACGCCGCCATACAGGGTAGGAATTATGTAGGCTTATGCGAACAGCGGGGTTAAAACGGGGCTAAAGCATGTTTCTGTGTCTCATCATTCAAAAAGAGATTTCCGTTGACGACAACTTCGTAACCCGCCTTTCCGCTCTAAATCTAGGGTGGGATGAATGGAAGCTGCAGATGACATCTTCGAACAGTGCGAAACAACAACCCTGAGCGAGGGAACTTTTCAGCGGAAAGAGTCTCGGGAGGTGCGAACCATGGGTAAGCCATTCATCAAATAGAAAAAGTTGAAAATTAAACAAATGTATGTAAAATTTATTGTAGGTTTGTCAAAAATCCAGCCGTCCAGGTCCTGGGAAGATATGTTATTCCACATTGCTGAGAGTATATATGGGTATATTAAGATTGCTAGAAACATTCCAAAAACAAAAGAAATAATCGTGCGCCACCATGTGGCGCACAACGCCCGTTACGTGTTTGCTATATTTACCACTATCGGTGAAGCAGCGGGATGGGAGGGAAGTGAAAGGGTAGAGTGCGCTGACTTTTCCCAGAATCGACTGCCATGAGCGGTCCATGGTGACGTGTTGGAGGGGACTCGGATAGGAAGGGATCCCCTTATAGCTGCTAATGGTACGAGATCTCGCGGTCACCCTCAGGAGTGAGGGTCGTGGTTTTACTATCAGTGCCACGCCACTATTAATCCTTGTTTTGAGGCTAATTCTGATTTCTGGAACTACCATCACCTCCCTTACATCTTCACCCGAAAGGCCGACCGACACATTTGTCCCATCCCTCACCTTTTTGCATACTACCTAGTCTTTCACTGATTCTGCATGTCGGGCGGATTACCTGCCATGGAGACCGAACAGCCAGTGGTCAGCAGTGCAGATTATCGGCGCCTCATTAAGCCCTCATTCGAAGTTTCACTGCCGTTACGCTCATTATTAGTTGTTTACAATTTTCTTATATTTCTTCCATATCCAAGGACGACTATAGCGTACTTACACCTTGTGGAAAGCAATATTATGTCTTCGTTTTATCTTCATATCAAACGCAATAGCTGTGCAATAAGGCCACTACACTCGTAGGCCCTTCCTATCTGAACATCTTTCGTCTTTCCCTAGCGCTCAACTGGAGGAAAGGATGA